TTTTTTTTTTTTTTTCTTCCACTTTTTAATTAGGAAACCAAGGCAGAAAGATGAGAGACAGAGAGACAGAGACAGAGACAAAGACAGACAGACAGAGACAGAGACAGAGACAGAGACAGAGACAGAGAGATCGAGAGAACGCTTGTCCTTGTGCTGCAGACCCCACCACTCAATTCCAGGGCATCCGCAAGTGTGAGGTCCCAGGCTGGAAACCGGTGCCAGTCTGAACCGGGGACCACGGGGCTTAAGGTTATCTGGGGTCCCAGCCCCAGCCCCGGGGCAGCTGGCGGGAACACGTGGGTCCGGTCAGGCTCGGTCCCACTGGGGTCCCTGGACTGTTCTCTCCTTGCGTTCGAACTTTCGAATTCCTGCACGGTGTGGCGACACCGCGTGCCACAGCAAGTTCGATGGCGAATGCGAGGGCGGCAGGAACCCGGGGGCTTCTGGTGCGCCCCTCGCCTGCCGGGACTCGAGGCTGGGGTCAGGGGTACATACCGGGCACCGTCGCGAGTCCCGAGGGCGGCCGCGCTGGGTCCGGGTTCAGCCGTGGCATCCACGCGCGACTCGGGCTCTCGCAGCCGCGCTGCCCCCTTTAACTTTCCGGCCACCACTCGGAACGGCAGCCCAGACCCTTTTTCACGTGAACGCCCCCCGTACCCGCCGACCAATAGCGGCGGCCGCGGGGAGCAGTGCTCCGCCTCGTGCTAGGCAGCGTGCCTGGAGTGACAGGGCTGCAGTCCAGGGGCATAGGCAGGGTGACTCCTTCCTGGAGGACGTCCCGTTACCCCGAAAGGACCGGCTGCCGGCAGCGTGCAAAGTTCTCCAGCCTAAGCGAGGTTCTAGCCAGCCAAGGCGTTGGGAAAGACGGGGCAATTGTGCACTCCCTGCCTTCCTGAGACTCTAGCCTAGCCCGGGGCTTACAGGTGACAGTTACCTCCCCAGCACGTGCAGAGCTGAAGGGTCCTTGAGATAACAGCAGGTACGTTTCGCTGGGCTTCAGGAGAGTCAGCCCCTACGACAGTGCCCAGAGTCACGTGCCCATCATGCTCAGGTGTTAGCTATGGAAATTAGAGTAACGTGTTTTACAGTACATAGAGTTAGTATTCGGGAGAGGACCGCCGCCCACCGCACACAGCACGACGGTTTCTCAGGTAGGTATATTTCCGAGATTTGCTGACTTGAACCTGTTATACTAATAACCAGCCAGGTCTGCAGGGCCTCTCTGTTCCCTCTGAACCACCTGGAGGTCAATAGAGAATGAAGACTTTAGTAGTCTTTCAACCAGAGGCTCCGCCTCTCATGAGATCAATTTACCTATCAGCCATCTGAGCTACCCACTTTGGGGAAGGGCTCTCAGGTTCCTAGTTTTAATGACCAGTAAAATTTTAGAATGTTGTTAATTGATACAGGAATGCCAACTGTCTTAGTCACTTTCTGGACCTTTGCTGGGACAAATTACCCAACACCCACAACTTAAAGGGGGAGAAGTTTATTTTGGTTCAAGGCCTCAGGCCATGGTTGGCTGGCTCCAAGGCAGAAATGGCTTGGTGGAAGGGCCTGGGCAGAGGACAGCAGCCCATTCCATGGCCGCCAGGAAGCAGAGAGAAAGGAGGAGTCTGGGAGGGAACCCTTCCAGGTCGCCCACAGTGACCTGCCTCCAGCTAGGCCCACCTCATACCAGCACACTTAGCTGTGAACTCCTCCCTGGAGGGATCCACTACTGAGTAGAGTCTCACGATCCAGTCACCTTTCACACACATGAAAATACATCTAAAACATAACGCCAACTTTTTATTTTTATTTGTACATGTTTGCAGTTCATAATGTCTATATTTCTTGTGTAAAGTTGGTACACATACATAACATATTTTAATTCCTGTTAATATCTCCTTTTTCTGTCTTCCCTCTCTCTCCCTCCATCTCTTCATCCCCTCCCATTTGAGAAAGATCTCTCTTCCTACCTCCTATTATATATCTTTTATTTTTCTCTTTATAATTTGGGTTTCTCACATAAGAGAAACCATGCCATATTTAAGCTTACATGACACCAACTTCTTAAAGTGTCAAGACATTAAAATAAACCCTACCATCATTTTAAAAAGTACTCTCTAACAACAGTAACAACAAAAGTGCAGGAAGGGCATATTAGTCCTTGACATGGGATATATTTAACATTATGAAAATTTATTATATTGAATATGGCATCTGGGGATTTCTACTTTAAGGGATATAGGAGCAGCTTCCAATTTTACTAGTCATGCAAAACTGAAACATTAATCCATTACAATAATCCAAGCAATCTTTCAGTTCTACAGAGAGATTCCCCAGATGCAGTTTCCTGGTCTGAAGGGTAAATGGTGATTAGTACTCTTCCTTCTCTTCTGATGGGCAAATTGGATAAAGGATCACCTGGAAAATCTGCTCTTAGTGGGTGGTTGTCATACTCCCTTTGCCAACTCTTAGTTCCCCTTTTGTTAGCTGATGAGTAGGCTGAAGATTTATTAAGCCAAGTGCTGGCCATGTCTCTCAAGCGTAGTGAGTGTGTAAGAGGAGTGAGCAAAGATAAAGAGTCAACAGGTATTGCAAAATGTATGCAAAAGGGTGATCTGATCCAAATCGGGAAGGAGTTAGGACAAGTAAATACAGCTTTATAGCATTTGAAAGCACATTTCTTACATAGATCTAGGAAATGAGGGGTAATAATTTCCCCTGTGGTTGAGATGACTATTTCAGACCCTGAAAGTGGGGCTAAACTTAGTTGTGGCACACCACAGTCTTGGTAGGTAGGAGTGTGGCATCTGTGAGTTTGAAAAGAGTGCAGGTTTTTTTTTTCTTTCAATCAGAAGACAGCCAGGATGCGAACTCAGCAGGCCCAGAGCCGCAGAACCTGAGAGCCGGACCCATCTTTGGACATGATCTTGTCCCACTCTCTCTCTGAAAGACAAAAAAGAGGGAAATTGAACATGGAAAATTTCAACCCTCAGTCAATGCACACCAAGTGCCTTTTATAATAGCTGGCATTGAATTCTAGTCTTAATTTCATTTATTAAAAACCACTCCCTAAGAAAAATAAACCAAAAAACTTAGCAGCAGCTAACCATAGCTAATTATTATTCTTCTGTAAACTGTTTGTTACATTTTTTCCAAGACCGTCAGTGGTAGCATTGTTTTATTTCTTCCTTAAACTAAGGCTCATCTGATTGCATCAGTCCTCATTCATTCATTCATTTACTCATTCAGCAACATGTTATCGAGCAGTTGCTGTAAGCCAGGATGCTGGAAATAGAAAAATGAATAACATATAAAATTATCCCCCCCATACACACACAAGACTCATAGGACAGTAAATAATGGTGTGGAACAAATGGATGGAGGGTGAGTCTCTGTGTTTGGGAAGCTGAGAGGAAGCCTCCTGTGTGTGTGCATGCATGTGTGTGTGTGCGTGTGTGTGTGTGTGTGTGGCAGCAGAGGGGTGGGAGTGGAGAAGGCCGGAGAAGGCTCCCTGAGAAGTCACACCTGGCAGGATTTTGAGGGAGGAGGTGGAGTTGAGTAATTGGGAGGGAGCATGGCAGGAATTGGCAAAAGCACAGAATTCTATATTTCCCACCAGAATTTCCACCCTGTTGATTACCCATTAGGTCCCCCATCTGGTTAAAGATTAGACTACAGTATGTTCCTTTTATGCATGTGTTGGCATTGCTTTCTGCTCATGCAGAAAGTTTTAAGAAATATTGTTGATGCTTTATCTCCTCAACTAATGCATTTAACAAATCTCATCTAAGATTTTGGAAGAGAAATCTATTTTTTTTGTTCTGATATGCTTCACTTTGAATGAAAATTATTACAAAAGGAATTCAAATAAAAGTAACCAGCATCAAGAATCAGTACTAAGGGAGAGAACATACTTTTGCTTGATCAGAATAGACAGTGGGGAAAGACTGTTTCCAAACTGCCCAAGTCTATATTTAGATGAGTGGAGTTATTTGCACCTGTCAGAGCTGCAGATGTGTTCTGGGGGCATTATGTTACCTGGGGCCCTCTGTCCCTTGTTCAGGTTCCACTGACACTGACTTTCGAGGTCATGTTTTGTGGGGACAGGCAGATGAATATTATGCTATAAGCCTCTGTCTGTGGAGAATGTGTCCTTTGCCTGTGAGAAGACCTAGAGTGGATTGCATACTGAGTCTTCTAGAGTTGGTTAGAACATTTTCCTCACTCTTGAGGGGTAATATTGGTATAGGGGTGGCTTTTTAAAATGCTACATGGCTGCAGAACTACTTATAGCTCACATCTTCATCCCTTGTGCCAGTGCTTTGCATGAGTTTCATATCATTTCTTTAATTTGTATCACTGTTATTTAAAATCAGGATCATAGTGTGTGTGTATGCATAGCTTTTTAA